ACGACATGTATAGTTTGCTCAGTTTCACTGAATCGCAGTACTTCTTGGTCACGGCCTCCATGTCTTTGACGGCCATTGAGGTGACGTCATATGCGAGTCCGTTCAGACACTTCTCGACGTATCGCCGAACCCATTGGGTTCTCTCTCTGTCCTCTCTGGTCATACAAATGATAATTTATTGGTTTAACTAAGTTTTAAAGCTTCTATGTAAACATTGATTACTTACTTGCATTGTTTGTCAAATTGAACTTGGTTAGAGGGATATTTGCCGTTTTGGTCACCAAATGTGGACAATTCCATCGCAAACTGATCCATCTTTTCTCTGGCATTCGTATTGCATTCAATGGGCTCTTCTTTGGCTAAACACAAACCAATTGATAAATAAATTATAAAACATTTGATATGCATTTCTCTAAAACAATGTCCGCAAAATTGACAAAAGTTTTGATCTTTTTTGTTATTTGTAACAAAAATGTAACACTTTTTCTAAAATTTAAAGTTAGGAAATATGTGTAAAACTGGTAAAAATCAAAGTAACGGTCTCTCAAAGAGTCATTTTTCCAGATTTACGGACAAAAAAACAAGATTTTTCTTTAAAATACTGGTTCTTCCGGTTATTGACATTGAATTCAATATTAAATGTGATTTAATTAGTCTAATAAATAATGTATTTTTATGTAATTTCAATGTTAAATATATGCAGAGAGACTAGAATAGGGGCTAATTCATCAAAACTCACACACAGTAAATACAGTTTATACACTTAAATACAAATGAAGATTTATATAAATTTATACCATTTTAAAATTTTGTATATAATTTGAAATAATACAAAGAAAAGTTTAGTGTTAATTAAAAATAGCAACAAAAAAAAATTATAGATTTCACTAAAGTATATATAAGAAGAATATGTTTTAATTGCATCTTAAATATTATGGTAATTTATTGCCAATTAATAGAATAAAAACTAAAACATTAATTTAAAAAATAAAATCAATCATGAATTGATTAAAAACTGTTCATGGTATAAATGGAATCTAAAATAGATACAATAACAAGTACAGTAAATAAGTTTATAAGTAAACCCCTATTAAATGCTCTATGTTTAATTTTATTTTTCATTTAATCAATTCAACAATTTAGACAATTCTAACCATACACATTTTAAAACATGGGATAAATGATACTGTAGATATATGTGTGAATTATACACCAATTTAACTAATAATTATTTTAAAAATATTAATTAATAAATATTTTTAAAAATTGTTTTGAAGTTATAGTATTTGTTGTAAAGCATAGTTACATTTAATTCCTATAAGATTTGAAAATCATCGACAAATTGTAATGAAAAGTACGTATATTTTGAGTAATTTATTATAAGACGTGTTATAAGAATTAATTAATTAAAAATATATTTATATTAGGTTTCATTAAACTTTAAACACATTTATATTTAAAAATTATAAACAAAACTAATTTCAACACATACTTCGCAAAAAATCAAATCAATTGTAATCAAAAGATTGAATAACAATGCTTTTCAAATGGAGTATAATATTATGTAAGTCTTGGGTAATACCGGTTATAATGAATTAAATGAAATGACAATTAAAACTAATTACTTAAAGCATTGGTGTCTATATGTGTGGACAGCAAACGAGCGTTTGACTCGACAAATATGTTCAGAGCTTTGTCCAAAAATAACAATATGTTTGATTTGGGATTCACGACAACATATGTTGGCAAATATCCGTTCACTTTTGAACACTACCTCTTCATTAGTAGAGACTTCTGGAAAGTGCAACAAATTAAAGGACACGACCGCGAGTTCTGTGTCCCAAACCTCGAGAGCCATCAACACTCGGAGTTTGACCACAAGTTCACACTAGCCTTCAGTTATCTGTCCGACCATATGGTTGAACACGACGACGAACTCAATCTCACAAACCATGTCTTTCTCCGTAATTATAGTTCATATATACGATCATAATATTGATTAGTGACAAAAAAC